AAAAAGAGAGAGTGTTAAAGACCGAAAAGATACATTTCTTGCATTAGTCCAGAGGCAGGCTACATCCTGCTGGTGCCCTGACTTACATGAATTGTCCCAAATTCAGCCCTTTGAGTGAGCTAATTGGCCATCACCCAGCTCTGAGAACAAAGCGTGTCTAACTGTCCATTCAAATGGACAGATCTTGGATGAATTTTCAGTAAGATAATGTGCAATATCAGGCAGTGACCAGCGTCTACCCATCTAGACCGTATCCTTCCTCAGTTGTCCAAAGTGCCAACAGATCCCTCACAAACAGAAGCCAACAACAGCTGGAGAAAATAACTCAGTGAAAGTTATCTGTGTTGGAGGGAGGCTGAGCAGGGCATGTTACTTGAAGGCGGCCACACAGTCCCTGGAGAAACCTAAGCAGCTGAGAGCTCATGACCAAGAGCTATTGAATTCTTGGTGAATAATAGTTCCTAGGGGTGATGTAAAACTGTTCACAAGCTTAGGAGAAAATAAGGTTGTTCCAGAGATGCAGAGGAACAGGAAAAGTCAGCTCACATGAAAAACTCAGCAGGTTGGAGTGACACAGCAAGCTGATCCATTGGAGCAGGCTGGAGGTGTTAGGAGATCTGTTTACTGTCCAGTTCAGAAGTTACTGTGGCCATGCTATAGAAATTCTCCCACCCACCTGAGTCACATGACAGCTCAGATTAGAGCAATCACTCATCAGCAGTGAAAGTTCTCATTTTTTTTCCAATTATTTTTCTACTTGCTAAAGAAAAATAACTTTTCAACACCTCCTCAGTAGTGGGATTCATCCATCACTTGCAGGAGCTCCTGATGTATTTAGTTTGGAGCCTCATGTTCAGCTGAACTTTCCAACAAACTGAGCAAGAAAAAGAAACATCTTGCAAAGTGGCTGCATCAGCCTGCGTGCTGTGAGCCCAGAATAGCGCAAGAGAGCTGAGCCTGCATCAGGCAACGAACACTAAGTGCTTCCAGAGTTTCCTGAGATAAGCTTTTTAGAGTGATATCTTCTCTCTGAACCCCAGTGAGACTTGGAAGTCATTCAGCATCCAAGTTACAAACTTCTGCTACTGCTTCTGCATTTTGGCCCCCTTGTGTTGTCCCACTAGGTCAATGCCACCATGCCAAGCACCTGGAGCAGTGACAGCACCATGGAACAAGCACCTCAAACACTCTCCACCTATAAAGCCACTTGGGACTTCCCAGCTGGGGAGTACTTGCAAGCAGCAAAGAGCATTTAGAAGAGACCTTCTAAAATGGTAAGTTTTAGATTAGATGTTAACTTTTAGAAAAGTTAAAGATCCTTACCTTCATAAAATTGGCTTTGTCATTTTCCAGGTAAAGCTCCTGGGTTGTCTCTGTCAGCTCCTTGCAGGTGTCAAGATGTTCCCCACAACTGACCAGCTGCCCATATAAAGCTTCCAGCTTCCGCCTCTTCTCTTCCCCGAGTGCTTCCAACTGTTCTTCATACTTCTGAGCAAGCACTTGCACTGCATCATTGTAATGCACCTCGAAGTTCTGCTCCTGCCTCCCAAAGTTTTCCTGCAAGGCATTTGAGAATTGGTTTCTTCGTGTCAGGCCTGATCCATAGCTCAGACAGAAAAAATCTTACTCAGGTCTGCCTAAAATTCTCCTTGCTAGGCAGGCAGTGCCAGTACACAGAAGGTGTAATTTGACTAATTTGCATTTTTAGGGGTTTATTCTATTCATTCTCCCCAACTGAGGCACAAGAGAGTGTTGGATTTGGTTCCAGACATAATAAGAGCATCAGAAATGATAATAAAAACAGTGATGCAAGGCAGCTGTCTCCAACCTAAGCCCAGAGAGCACAACTAGGGATATATCCTAGCTATAATCTCCCAAGTGTTTCCACCAACACAGTCAAGCATATTCTTCTAAGAGAGAAACCATGGCAACCCAGTGGGATCCATGGATTTGCGCTGGGGGAGCTGAGCAGCTAATGCTGATATCCTCAGTAGCTGCTGGAGAAAGCATTAGGAAGGAAGATTTAAGGAGCAAGCAAGGCTTTATTGCCAGCAGCTGCCCACTGCTCAGGCACCGATGTCTCCTTCTGTGCTGCATGCAGCAGAGAAAAGACAGCGGGTGCCTTGAGTTACTGCTCCAGTCTGACTTGCTGCCAGCGGGGCCCCTTCCCCTGGGGACAAGTTGACACCAGCAGAGCAGGAGCACAGCTCCTGCAGTGCTACAGCTCGATGCTGCTGGTCCAAGGGTTTGCCTCTATCTGGCACTTCTGTAAGTGAAGCCAAGTGAACACAAGGGGTACACGCAGGATGGACTAGTTAGATCACAGGTCCCTGGCCATTTAAGACTAAGAAAACTTGAGTGGGGGTTACTTTATTTCTGCATACAAGTGTCTGTGCAAATGCTTAATGTGGTTTTACTAGCCCACTTAAAAAATTCATTAGGATGAATTTTCCTGAGTACCTCAGTCTAGGCAAACCCCAAGATAACTCTGTGCTCTGTTACCATAATTACTCACCTCATTAACAACTGAACACTTTGACTGTCAAAACCATTCTAACCCCAGTACCACAAAGCCCAAGAAGAAAACTCCTTACCTCTACAGTGATGAAGATTTCCTCCAAGTGACTGGCAAAGTTTTCCATCTGAGCAATCTGCTCTTCCAGTTTGCACATGTTTTTATGAATCTCCTCCTACCAAAACACCAGCATGATTCTTAGTGTGTTTGAACGCTGTTTTAGAGGCACCGCAGTGCACTCATGGTACTCTTACCTTTTCACTTTCCACAGCACTGGGGAGCTGAGCCACCTCATGATCCTTGTGCTCACCAAACAGTTTGTCAAAAGCTCGGATTGGCATCTTGCAGGTAGAACAAAAAACATCTGCCACTTCCTCCTCCTCACTGACAGCCAGACTGCTCCACTCATCTGACATGCCGCCGCTGTTAAGCTCCTCTCTGGACCGTATGTGGTGCTCAGCCTCATCCTCTGCTGTGGCTTCGCTCTGGTCTTCATCTTGAGAAGCTTCACCAGGAAGTCCCTGTTGCTTTGTGCTTTGACTTTTATCTTTCACTGGCGAGCTGCTTTTTGATGCATTATATATGGAGCCTTGTGACCTTGCTTTTTCTGTGCGAGGAGGTGGCCATCTGCGCTCCACCATCTCAAGGTGTCCTCCAAGAAGTTCAAGCTCTTTTTCCCTATCTTCATCAAGTCCATACATCTTAGCCAATTCTGCAACCTCCTTTTCCAAGTCATATCCAGCTTCTTGTGAGTGATGAATTTTTTCACTGCTCAATGCAGATTCCCTTCTTGTATCCCCCCGAGATCGGTCTCCTTGACCAGACAGCTCTTCAGGAAAGATATCAAACCTCTCCTTTGATCCATAAAGATCCATGTGATAAAATATCAAGCCTTCAGCCTCAGTCTCACTAGACTCTGGGACTGGCGGGGACACTGAACGACCAGGCAACTGGTCATTAGTTTCATACTCTCTTGCACTGCCAAATCTGGATGACATTGGTATCCTCAATGAGGCTTTTGAGTTGTCAAGTCTCAATCCTGTAAAAGAAAAGAAAGATCCTTGGCTACATGCTTAGATGTCAAACATGGGATTTTCTTGCATAAAAATATATAGATGGAATAGGTTTGGCTGAGGACTGCTCAGGGCCTGGAGGTAGGCATGGGAAAGACCAAAGCTGCTAGGAAGTGAAGCTTCTGAAGAGAAGCCACAGAAAGCTTTTTTTTTCTTGCCTCTGTGCAAAGCACGGCACAGAGCTGTCTGCTGTGCATCCCATGTATTCCGAGTGGCTCTTCTCTGACCCTGATGTCTGATTTCCAACCGTGGAGTAGTCCTGTCCTCAGCTCAGCACTGTGACTGTGCTTCAGGCTCACTTAGTGCTGTTCTGTGCAATTTGAGATGGCCTGGTTTGAAGTCTGCTCACCCTTCAGCTGCTGTCAAGCACTCTTTCTGAACTGTCAGTCAGGCATATTGCAGCATGTTCTCTCTTGTGACCACTGATGCCACATAACACACTAGTAAATGCCCTGAAAAATTCTGGTTTGGATTTTTCAAGTTGCCATTCTTGATACTGAAAATTGAGGTTTCTTTTAATGTTATTTTCAGTCCAGGTCTCTGGTACTTTCTATAAAATAGGGGAAAATGCTGCCCTTTGGGAGTTCTTGGGTGCTGTGAAAATAGATATTTTAACATAAATGAAGCTCAGAAAAAAGATTCATGATGCTCTCCATGATAAAGCATACAGTAACTAGGAAGCAAGGCAAGTCATTGACCCCTGAATTGAGAGAAGTCCACTCTGACCTGAAGCTTGCACACTTTATCCATTCTGTGCAATGTGGGAGGTGTGAAAAGAGCACGTGGATGTGAAACGCAAAGCTGTATGCTAAAGCTGATGCACGAGGGACAACATTAAAGGCGCAAAGGCAAATTTAATGCTGGCTCCCTAAGCCCCCTCTTTCCACCCAGCCTGTATTAACAACAGCACATAAAATAATGCTAGTACAAGCAACATCACTGCAGCCCTCCACTGTTCACCAGCACTAACAAAATCACGGCTACAAACCTACTCAGGTAAATTTTCTCAGCAGTTTACTGCTACATTCAAAAGAGGTAATGGAAAGATTTCAGGTGAATATTAATGAACCTATAGTTACATCAAGTCCTAGCTCAGTGAAGCACATGAAAACTTTAAAACCATTTTCTCACAGAAAAAAAAGCCACAAAGTCAGTCAGATATCAAGTTTGCCAGAGCTTCTGAAGAAGCTTTCACATAAACTTTGCTTTCAGACTATTTTTTTTATTGTCTTTGTAGTTTTGAGTACTTGCTCTCACCTCAAATGTATTTCATCAATATTCTACTAATAATCCTGAGGATTACTTAGCTAACAAAGTCAACACAGTCAGTAACTTGTTAGAAAGCAACTTCTCTAACTGGTGAAAAATGTTAAGAAACTTCCCACTCTCTGGTTTTATACAAATGATTGAAAACAGCCCAGCCTACCGTATCTGCAAGAAAACATACACACAGAAGTTCACCATTTGTCTTCTGGCACTGCAGACACAAGTGTGGATTCTACAGCTAGCAATATCTTACTATAGACAAAAACACAGAAGTTAGGCAGAAATACTGTTTATGCTAAAGGTGATAAAATAGATCATGCAAATTCTAACATACTAAACAGAGAAAAGGTCTTGACACATACCAGAAAATGTTGTCTGGCTCCTGCAAAGACTTTTTTCCCCATAATTATAACAATAAGGCTTGCTTTAGAAGCTACTACTAACTAGAAAAGTGAATTAACAAGTATTCTTCCTACCAAAATGAAATTAAATTACATAAATTAAAATGAGCATAATTAAGCTCATCTGGAAGCCTGCTGCCTAAATAAGATTTTCAGATGATTGCTCAGTGTTTGCTCAGTTTACAGGCACAGATACAATTACAGGTAAGAATGTTTAAGTCTGTGACCATCAATTATTGAAAATATATAACAAAGAATGTTACTACCTAAAAACTTGCCTTCTATCTTAAGACGTCATAAATTCTTCTGACAGCTCAGATGGCATCAAACTCCACATTTATTTCCTCTAGTAAAAATTAATTCACATGAAAGCAATTCCCTGCCACTTTCCTATGACTGCAGTTGGAAGACTTATGCCGTAACCCTAGACCGTCTCTTTGCTCAGATAGGGACATGCCAGCAATGAGCAATGGAACAAATATAGATGTGCCCCAGCTGCCCTTCAGCAGCAGCGCGCTACGTGAGTGTCGCCAGGATGAATGTCATACACTGAGAAAAGGCTCCGAGGGTTGATTCCTGGATCTGAAGTACTTGGAATAATTATACAGACCCCTTGCTAAAGCCAGAGCACCCTCTCACTTTCTGAACTGGTATTAATAAACCCAGCAGAGTGCAGTCATTGACTGTAGGCATGATTTCTAACGCTGTGACGCTAGGCAGAGTATCGTGTGTGGGACACACAAAACGTGAACTCTGTGCAAAGTCACTCAAATGGCTGGATACGTACTTACAGCACTGCTGCGCATTTAAATGGAAGGATCTGTTCTGTTCTTGGCAAAAGTTTAATGGCAAAGTCCTTCTCTCTATTAAATTAGCAGAAGCTCTGCTATGGGGTTGAGTTGGAATGAAGATCAGATTCTAGAAAAAAATATCAAAAAATCAGAATTTAGAAAAAATCAGAAATCATAATGTTGCTTACACATATTATACATATACATACATGCCCACCCTGTATGTGTACGCTAGACCACTGGAAAGCTAATTATAGTGAAGAAAGTGGGCAATGGCCCAGCTGGGAGGGTTTTCACAGGAACATATCCCTTCAGTCCACGCTCAGTAGTGGGTCACCTGATAAAAACCAGGCTGTATATTGCCACTGATTATTGTGATTGCTGTAGCACTTGGGCTCTACATATCCACTGAAACCCACAAACAATTCAGTTGTCCAGCACACATAATCTTCTGCTGAGCTAACCTTGCTGGCAAGAGGTTTTCTAGCACATTTGAGGACACTGCATTATACACATCTCTAGCTCAAGGGACAGTGCAAGGAGAAATGTCTGTTTGCTCTTGACACAGCCCTGCTTTTTCTTCCTTTTCAAATTAAACTTGGTGTCATTTCCTCACATTTCTAGCAGTGCAATTGTTTGCTGTTTCAGTAAGGAATTACAAGTTAATTACCCAAGTAGTCATGATCTCATTACTGCTGATAGTGCCTCTGTTATCTGTGATATCAGAGCAGAAATGTTTTCATATAAATGACGTAGCCTTTGCTGGAATGTTAGCATTTATGCTGTCAGAGAGATTTTATTAATTTTTTTCAAATGAGACTTATTTTTGCCCTTAGACTGTTAAAACTACAGTATCTTGCGGTCCATAATTTATGGAAAAACTCGTAGTGTCAGCTTTGCATCTAAAGACTGAATGTAACCTTTTTTTTGCTGAGAAAAACTTAATGAAATATAATAAGGGC